ATTATATGATAAAATAGATTTCCACTGGCTAAACTATTTCTGAGTTATCTGTGAAATGCTCTATTAACGTCTGMGAAAGAGACCACACATACCTTAAGAATCAGTTTGTGTGACTGTGTTGAACTACGGAACAGCTTCTCTGCTGTAGATGCAATAACGGTGTCAAACTCAATGGTTACCACTTCACCATCTGGGGGGATACCTTCAGCGAATGCCATGGCAGACATGCCAGTAAAGGTCCCTATATCCAAAACTCTCTTTGCGTTCCCAATCTGGGCCATCATCTTTAGAAATTGTGACTCAAGGTGTCCCACCATGCATGGCGTGAACATTTGYTGTTGTTCAGTTTCAATGGCGATCTTCTGKATATCGGCACTRGGAACTTGAGATAGGCCCCCCGCATAGTCTTCCACCTCTAKAGAGAAAAACACACAAATTAGGAGCCGGTACAATGACAAGATTGCATYRACTTGACAASCGACTCATTCTTGTCAAAATCAAGSAGACATGGTGGAGATAATATGATGATTATGATGGTGATAACAATGATGATAAAGAATGTACCTGGATGGCAGAGTTCGTTRGGTTCRTACTCTGGTGCATGTGGTGTGTCRGGAGCTGGCTTCAAAGTCATGTTTGAAGTAAAGCCCGCGTTTCTCTTTTTCTGCATMRTCTCGATCCATTCCTGATAGGAAAGTTTCTTCGTTTTCCCGCCGTCTTCACGATCCTTTTCACAGCCATTTTGATGCTTCATTTCTTGTGGAAGAACGTTATTGACATTACCAACAGTTGCGGGATCTTCAAGACCAACCTCCTTGCAGTGAGCTTCGACCCCAAGCCCTTCCCTCGGGTACTGCTGACAAATTTCTCTGTATTCTTCGAGTCTTTGCTGAAGGAGTTCTAGTGGCATGTAGTTTAAGTARCCACAGTTTCCAATACCCTTCGGTATCGGTGCAGCTAAATTACCGCCTCTTTTCTCAATCATTTTCTCCTGTGCTCTGTAAATCATAACGCTCTCTTCCATGATCGGATGCCACAGRGAGAGTTCCAGGCCGCTTAGRACTTTAAGAATTCGGCTCAATTCTTCTTGTGTCACCCAGTCCTCGCAGAATGAAAGATAAGCGCCGAATCCCATCCCTGTGGCTACRGCATGACCGTGAAGCATGCCGGCAGGAAGCTCGTACCCAGGGCTCCACGTGTGTCCGTATGCGTGAGGTCGACACTGGTGAGTCTCCCAAAGGTTACCATATTCTGAGCGTACATACCTGTAACATAATACATAGTTGATGATCAATGTTAACTAACATTACCGGGAGGAAAATTGAGGACTAGTAAAACATTTAACACAAGAATAGACATGAACAAAAACGGAGCGCAGCTAAAACGTAAAAAAGTACCGGAATGAGATAATAAAGCTTGGACATTGTAGTTTCAAGAACAACGTTTCAAGAACAAACTACTTAACACAGCAAACTGACAAAACAAAAATAAGGGGCAGCGAAACAAGCAAAACAGAGCGAAACAGAATCCATAAAAGAGCAATACAGAATCACTTGCAGAGTTAACTAAATTCAACATACCCTTCAAGAGCTTTGCCAATGATGAGATCACAGACTTCCCTGAATGTTTCAGCGTCACCACTGAAGTCATCCATCTCAGTACCAAACTTGGTCCAGATCAGAGAGGACGAGTATTGYTCCAGGAGGTTAAACAACTCCTCATCCTTCACTACAGCCATCTTAGCGATCTCCGCTATGCCATGACGGATCCAGCCGTGATGGAGAGTGYTGAAGAAGCTRCGATCAATGAGAGTTAGMACAGGGGGGTGRTAGCAGCCGTAAAGRTTCTTGAAACCAAAGCCATCGCAACACGTACGAGGGGACGGACCAGCGTCAATTCCAGAMACAATACTAGTGCACAACATGACGTATGGTGTGTTGCGATGATACAGAGCTGTAGCRAATCCAGCGATATCCGAWATCACTCCACCRCCGACGACCAACACAGGCTGATCTCTTGAAACTTTGATCTTTTTGAGAGCAACCARCATCTGTTCTACWGTGGATATGTCCTTGTCAACCTCATTTCCAGGAAATACCAGTTTCAATAGTTCAATGTTGTGCGTATCGAAGTAGACTTGGATTGCTTCACCGTACAGACGGTCGACTTTGTCATCAATAATGGCAACACACCTTGTAAAGAAAAACAAATAAGCTACATATTTTCTATAATTATTAATTTTATATTTATATTTATCTATTTTTAATACTTTTTTTATAATGATAAATTTAAGATCAGAGAAGATATTGTAATTTAGATTTTTAAGTATAATTATTATTATTATTTTGTTATCATCTATAGTATTATTATTTCAAAGTATATATTGTAGAAATTGTAAAATATTGAAAATTTGTATTTTGAAGTTTTTCAATAAAATTATTATTTTATTATATGTTTATGAAGTGTGAGAAATACCCGAATTTAAAAGCAGCCAGTGYAACAAGTGTTTTTCAATCTTCTCAAGTACTCATCATTTCAAGCTGTTTATGTCAAAGGCCAGCGACGCAAGCAGCCGTCTTTTATTCATTTATAACCATTTTTAGCTATTAGTAGTGGAAGGCTGATAAAAATACCATCCATCAACCAATCAAAATCGCGCCAAATCACAAACTATTGCATAACCCGTGCATAACACATGTTTAGGCAAATATTATGTACATATTGATATAAACTCATCAGCATTCTCTTGATAACGTTATAAATTATAACTGATAGTATAAACACACAAAAAAATGTCAATACTAATTACTCGTAAGCAGTGTTGATTAGATAGAGTGAAGTCAATGAACCCGTGAAATACATATTTGACTATTACATGTTATTACTCGATAATTCCATTGTTTTCTTTTGTGTCTATTTGACTATTACAGTTTAATTATTAACTTTTATTTCACAGGATCAATGCCTTCACTCTAATAGAAAACACTAAAGATATTAGAATAATTTGATTGTATTCTTTTTTATGGTTTTAATTGCGTTCGTGTTCTGTATACATCAAGTATATATCTCGAATTACCTTCCAAAAGGTTGGTAGAGTTTCTTCAGTTCTATGTTCTCCGGGTTTAGAATGTCATTGACGACCTTTATCGTTGTTGTTACYGTCGTACTCATTGTACTTTCAATAACAGAAGCGTCCTGCTTGGCCAGGATGAATCCTTCACAGCTACGGTAAATAGACGTCGGATATACGGCGTGTGGATCTGCTATCTCAAGATATTTAGCATTTTGCTGGTAGCACTCGGGAAGTCCGTTCTCGATCAGAACATGGCGTACTTTCTTTGTACACAGTGGRCTTTCTGTAATCACTTTTGAGATATTATCCCATTCAGCTATCTTGTTTGCATCAGTAATGAATCTAAATAGATTGGAAAAAATCGAAAAATACTTTCTTGAACATTGTTTTGAGACGTTCAGATGTGMTATTCATGGTGTCCAGGTTTTGGTTAGGRCCGCTCGGTCTYAGCTAGCACAGGARCCCCGCAAAAATACAAWCCATTAAACCGACTAAAATATGTGAAATACATATATGGTATATATAATATATATGGTTTTAGTAAGGGTGCTTCGTGTTATTTTTCTACCTTGATACAAGATCTCTAAGCTGTTGAGTAACCGCTCCYRYTGGTAAGTTGTAGAAATATTTCAATTTCTTGACGAGTCCCAATGAGTCGAGATCACTTCTGAAGGATTTTCCCAGTTCCTCAGTGAAAACATTGAGCCTTGAGGCAGTGATGAGAAAGCTGCAGACTCTCGGATGACAAAAGAACTGCATGGCCATTTCCTCGACCGTCACTTGGGGTCCGTCTAGGAACTGCCATGRAATCTCGGCAAGCGATTTGATTGCTGCATGAATAGTAATCTACAAGAAATGATTCTACACGTGAATAACTCTTGTCATAACATGCTCTATGACATAGGAGGATTGTATGTCAAGTGTATTTCCTTATTTTTAATCTGTTTTTGTTATCGCTGCAAGGCCTCTATGCCATAATAATAATTCTAGCATTTCATCCGGGTTGTTCAAAATCAAAATTGCACTAAATCTGCCTTTGAATCACCACTGTTATTTGTCGGATACCATTTTCTTAATTGCACAAAATAGTACAAAGAGGTYATTAAATTCCATGGATTAAGTGAATCACTCTACCAAGAGAAGACAGGTCTCGAGAGACAAAGTTTGACTAGTTTAGTGTCACGTCATTGTTAGAGAGACGAGAAGCTGTTATGCAATTTTTAACAGGTAGAAGCCAGAAGACAACCGTCTGCTTTGTTGTCAAGGTCGATCCGCCACATTCTATCTCARCATTCTTTGCAAACCCCAAGTGCTTTGATTAAAATAGTTAAAGTTTGAAGAGATATACTGACTAATACCCATGAATAGAACTCCCGTCACTCWAYCGATAGTAGACAGATCTCTAGGGACGCAGTTTGACCAGTTTAGTGTGTTAGAGATAAGAAGCTGTTATGCAATTTCTAACAGGTAGACACCAMAAGACAACCGYCTGCTTGATCGATCCGTGATCAAGGTCGATCCGCCACTTTATTTTTCTGACTGAAGACGTTGTTAATGTTAAGAGTTGCATAACACTCAAAAATAAACCTGTAAATTGCCATAAAATCGAAAAATGACGTCACACTGACACCCGCGTAAATTTGCTAGCTAAAAAATGATCGGACTCCGAAATTCTAATTTCAAGGAATATAATTTATTGTGCATTCATTTATCTTCTTAATGAAAAATATTTTTCGTTGAAAAATAACAGTGTTCACAATCTTTTGCTTAACAAATGGCCGTATTTACCTCACTAGGGTTCAATGGAATAGTAATATGAATAACAATAGTGGACGCTTGCCTCGATTCTCATTTGCATGGTTATGCAAGAGTTTGCTAAAAAAAATTTTTTTGATAAGCATATAGTGTAAAATGCATTTATAAAATCAGATTTTTGAGCATTCATCTAAACGCAATAACAGGTTGCAAATTCCTGAGAAGCAAAGACCTAGTTCTAGTATTTTGACCATAGAAAAGTTGGAGATATGGGAAATACATGAGGAGCAGCTTGAAGATTAAGCTAAGTAGGTTCAGTAGCTAAGACAATCGATAATATTCGCAACTGTTTGAAACAAAAAACTAGGCTGAAAAATATTGCTCTTTGCTAATTTTAAGCTATTTATTGCAGAAATGGAAAGTTAGATTATTACTTCAAATACATATATTGTTACCTTGCGTTCTTTATCGTTTGCCTGTAGTTGCTGGAGTGCATTTTCTTTAGCCAACTTAAGGTTTATTTCCTCAGCGTTGCTAAAATATCCGTTCATCGTGAATGAGGTGTTATGTCACTGTCCGAGTAGAAGCTACAATCTCATGTGGGACCGAGGCTCCGAAAATTTACTATGTAAAAGCTCATTACAATGTGATTAAGACAATTGACCAATCAGAGGATTAAGAAACAATAGAGTAATGTCTGAACTTTATCCAGGATAATAATGAAATATTCATAAATTTGAGGTTTGTACCACGTGAAATACCGAGGGCAAACCACTTTGCTCTCAGGTGCACTAATAACAAGCTTCAAAGCAAGACCTCTAAATTCCTTTTAGACTCGTTTAAAACGTTAAATCACACATGTACCGAACTAATTCTAAATAATTCCCAATTTTTTGGTCATTGTCACTCATGTTCTGGATTGAGTTGTCAAAATCCGAGCTCTTGCTTTTGAAAAAGTGATGATGAGATGTAAAAGTTGTTTTAAAAGTTAATAGTAGATGTGGTTGTTGTAGTGTCGTCCGATTGTACGCCAAACACAGAATTAATCTCATATGATAACTCAACGTGACCTCTATGACATAACATGTGCTTTGTCTACAGCATGTTTTGTGGTCCCGAGATCGCTGATGTTTCCCGAAGCGAAGCTTCGTGACTTTCACGTGGTACACTCTCGACCAATAAGATACTAGGAAAAGTGAACTTTGACACTTGATATATAATAATGATTATTATTTGTTGTCTTGGCTTGTATCGGAGCTCCAGCGTCTTTATTTTGGACAGTAGTTTCTTTTGAATGCTTAACTAATCCCATGTGTTCAAAGTTCTCACAATAGAATTGCATAACCGCAGTACCATAGCACCAGAGAGCACAGGCTCTTTATCAGTGGCTCTTTATGTACCCACCCATCCCCTCTATATTTTACCGTTAATATTTTACGATTTTGTATGATGTTATAAGAAGTACTTCTTCTTTGTTTGGTGGGGAGAAAGGTATATAAACTCAATCAAATCGTCTGAAACTTCTCTAGGGGATTGTTGCATGCATAAATAACAGGATGTGATAGGTTCGTGTGATTTCGTTGCAATCCAAGTAAGAAATTCACGATTCAATAACATCATACAAAATCGTAAAATAATATAAAAGAACCACAGCCTATGCTCCCTGTGCCATAGCTGCTAAAGCTTTTTCATCGGCTCTTGTTTTGAGATCCGACGGCATTTTCACGCATATTTAACACAGCGTGCTAAAGCGTGAAAATAACTGACTGTTTGCAGCCGTCTAGCGATTCTAGAGGATGAAAATTGGAAGAAACGACAACCTTCACTATCTGTTAGTAGTGATCTATTCGAAAAGTATAGCGGGCAATTTAAATACCATTATTATATATCAAGTGTCAAAGTTCACTTTTCCTAGTATCTTATTGGTCGAGAGTGTACCACGTGAAAGTCACGAAGCTTTGCTTCGGGAAACATCAGCGGTCTCGGGACTACAAAACATACTGTTTCCCTCGGATCCAGTAAATGAGTGTTAATTATTTCGATCTGAACAGCTGCTAATACATCGAGTATATCCTATGTATATTGTCGAACATTATATATATTATTATAGATATTTGTGCCGCGGTCAGTTTGCTAAAAAGAAACTGTGACGAGCTGCTAAGCATTCTGGGAAAATTCTGGCAGCGTATATTTGTAGGTCAATGTGCTATGCGATCTGTCATTCCTGGACAGTTTGCATATTTGTAGAATTATCCTTTAAGTTGCGGTTACACAGTGCAATCTTCTCAGCAACTTGTAAGGCACCCCCGTTGGGACACAAGGTGTTGATAAGACTGCGCAGCGTAAAAAGGGATTGTAACATAACTTATTTCTGCGTGTAGCGTAAAACCCGATTAGCGTTAAGAACCAGACTCAACTCCATAGGTTTTTTCAAAGATTTAATCCAGGAATAGAGCATTGAACAACCGTAGCCACGTCTGTTTTTCGCAACGTTTTCCAGAAAGTTGTCTAACGATTTTCAAATCACTTACAATGTTAGAGCATGCATAATTTTTCCTTTCAAATGTCTGCTATCTTGATTCTGGCTACCAGATTACTTCGGCCAAAGACTTTTCTGGGTAACTGTTGAACAGTGTAATAAGGCTATAATTTTTAGCTCAACTTGGGTCGCAAAGGTGTGGCAAGGTAATCTATTGAAAAAATTACACAGAGTAACAGCACTTCGAAAAGTTTTTTTGTTGTAGTTAGCTGCCTTGATTAAATTTCTTCGCTGTACTTTCCGAAATTTCAGCTCATTAAACGAAAAAAATAATTCCAGAAAGAAGTAAAAAGTGTGCGCTTCTTCTATGGGTTCCCTGTGGTTCGTCTAGGCATTTTAAAAGCCATTAAAGAAATATACCTTCACTGATACTAGTCAGCGGCGTTGCCAGAGAGGAATGTTAACCGAGGCACTTTATGCGACCGGTGGAAGCCGCCGCATCTATGGGGTTCGCGGGCATGCTCCCCCGAAACATTTTGAAATTCAGACACTCGGAAACGTGATTTCCAGCATTTTGTGACATTGTTTTCTTACAACATTGATCGAACTTCTTTATCTTGGCTAAGAATTAAAGAAAACTCGATAAAATTTTACCGAGGCAAGTGCCTCGCTTGCCTGCTGATCGTAGCTACGGCGCTGCTAGTAGACCTGTCTAATTCCACATAAATTACCACACAAATAAGCTACTCGTTTTATTTCCAGCACACTAAGTGCATTTACACATGCTTGYTGGACAGTATCCTGCAGCACAATTATTCTTACACCACTCATCAAGACCTGGC